CCATCAGGGTTACTGCTAGTTCTTATAGTAAGGTCGTGGTTTTCTCGGCTACTATACATATCTCTGTAAAACTCCTCCACTATCTCAACTATCCTATCCGATTGGTAGCTATTGTCACGGGGTGAGAGTAGACAGAAAGTAGAAATATATTTACAGATTGTACACAGAATACACAGTGTCCTTGAACCAAGATGGTGGAGTGGCAATCACAACACGAGCTTTTGTTCAATCGTCACCTTCGTCACCTTTATGGTGCATTTGTTGATGTTAATGATGACTTGTATCAAATAGCCGCCGCCAGGTGAAAGCGCCGTCTCGGCGCTTAAGAAAGCGCGCGATCCCGGGCAGAGAAGTGCGGCTTAAGGTGGAAGACGCGTACAATATCAGTGGATGGCAGAGACGATGAGGATGGAGCGTCCAAGGGGGCGATCTCATAGGTGACCTCGGTCAGTTGGCGCAAGACTTTGTGAGGCCCATTGTAGCGAGCGAGGAACTTCGTGGATAGGCCAACGTGACGGGAGGGAGTCCAGAGCAAGACCAACGATCCAGGGGGTAAGAGACAGCTCTATGACGGCTGTCGTAGTGATCCTTTTGAGATAGCTGCGAGGCAGAAAGGCGAACCCGGGCAATCTGACAGGACGCTCGAGCCCGAGTATTTGCATCGCTGGCGTACTCGATAGGAGTGTCAGTATGCGACGGCAGAGGAGTGTCAAAAGGCAAAGTGGGGTGACGGCCGTACAAGAGATAGAAAGGAGAAAAGCCAGCGGTGTCGTGTCGTGACGAGTTGTAGGCAAACGTCACGTAAGGCAAAGTGGCATCCCAATCACGATGATCTTCGGAGACATACATGGATAGCATTGTCGTTAGTGTGCGGTTAAGGCGCTCAGTGAGTCCATTTGCTTGCGGGTGGTAGGCAGTGGTGAGTTTATGTCGTGTGGAACACGAGCGAAGAATGTCGTCCACGACTATGGAGAGAAATGAACGACCACGGTCGGTCAGCAGTTGACGCGGTGCTCCATGGTGGAGAATAACGTCTTGAAGGAGAAAGTGAAGCACAGCTTGTTGGTAGCGCTCGCGTGATGGCAAAGCGTGTCGCGTAGTCTGTTGCCACCACTACCCACTTATTCCCACTGAGAGACGTTGGAAATGGTCCAATGAGATCGAGGCCGACGTGGTAGAACGGGTCTGTTGGTATGTCGATAGGCTGAAGTGGGCCAGGTGGTGCCAATGATGGATGCTTGAGGCGCTGGCAAGACTCACAAGATGCAACGTATCGGCGCACAGAGCGGTAAAGGCCGGGCCAGAAGAATCGACGCCGATGCGCGGTGATACGTGCGGGCTGCTTCGAGATGTCCAGCAGTTGGGGCATCATGAAGTTGTTCGAGCACAGTGGAATGGAAGCGTTGCAGGAACTACCAGAAGAAGTTCTGGGCCTTCGGTGCTTGTGTTGCGCCGATAGAGAATTCCGTCATGAAGGTTGAACAGTGGAAGGGAAGGATGCGAGGTGTCAGAAGCTAGACGGCGTATGATAGACCGCAAATTGGCATCAATGAGTTGCTCCCTACGTATGTCCGTGAAATCAGAAATGGCGAAGACACATGCATTAGAATTGTGCGCTGACGGGTCAGAGGGATCGACGGGATGGCGAGATAGACAGTCGGCATCCCGGTGCATTCGGCCAGACCTGTAGGTCACGTCAAAGCTATATTCCTGTAGCTTTAAAGCCCATTGACCGAGGCGTCCAGAAGGATCTTTGAGGGAGGACAACCAGCACAGGGCGTGGTGATCCGTGATGACTTAAAAGTGGCGGCCGAACAAGTATGGTCAGAATTTTGCAACTGCCCATACAAGAGCGAGGCACTCGCGCTCATTGATGGAAAACTTGCACTCGGATGGGGAGAGGAGGCGACTTGCGTAGGCGATTACACGATTTTCACCCTGTTGCTGCTGGGCGAGAACAGCGCCAACACCGTGTCCGCTGGCGTCGGTGCGAACTTCAGTGGGCGCTGAAGGATCGAAATGACCTAAGATGGGCGGGTGAGTGAGCAACGCAGTAAGTCGGCGAAACAAATTGGCTTGCTGGGGACCCCAAGAAAACGGCGTGTCCTTCTTCAGCAGCTGTGTCAAAAGATGGGTAATGTCGGCGAAGTTGTTGACAAAACGCCGGAAATAGGAACAGAGGCCGACAAAGCTCCGCACATCTTTCGTAGAACGTGGTGTGGGAAACCTTTGACGACGCGAATTTTGTCGGGATCGGGTTGCACGCCTTTAGCACTGTTAAGATTGCTTAGCACAGTGATTTTTGGCGGCTGAAACGGCATTTGGAGGAGTTGAGCTGTAGGCCTGCCCTTCCGAAAACTTCCAAAACAGCTGACAGACGGCTAAGGTGACTTTCGAATGACGGCGAGAACACCATGACGTCATCGAGATAACGGAGGCACGTTGACCATTTGTAACCCCGTAGCAGGGAGTCCATCATTCTCTCAAATGTAGCGGTAGCATTGCATAAGCCAAAGGGCATTACCTTAAACTGGGAAAGTCCATCCGGTGTAACAAATGTAGTCTTTTCACGGTCTAATTCGTTGACGGAAATCTGCCAGTATCCTGAACGCAGGTCGATAGAGGAGAAATAGGCGGACCCGTGCAGGCAGTCAAGGGCAATTCAATCCGTGGCAGTGGGTAGACGTCCTTGCGCGTGACCTTGTTTAAGTGACTGTAGTCGACGCAGAAGCGCCAGCTGCCATCCTTCTTTTTTACTAGAACGACTGGTGAGGCCCATGGACTGCAAGATGGTTCAATGACGTCTTTTGTGAGCATTTTATCAACTTCACGTTGGATGACTTGTCGCTCTGCGTGTGACACGCGATAAGGACGTCGTCGGATTTTACTGGCGTCTCCAGTGTTGATCATGTGAGTAACAACTGACGTCTGACCTAAAGGGCTGTCATCAAAGTCGAAAATGTCCCTGAAGGATGCCAAGATATGCTGGAGATTGGCTGCCTGTGCTGGAACGAGGTCTGGCGCGATCATCTTGTCAAAGTCGGCATCAGTGGAGCTCTGTGAAGAGGATGCAGTAGCGGTCAAAGGAGCGTCTGCAATGAATGCAGAAACAGAATGTTCACTGATGGAAGAAACGTTGGCTAGAGTCATGCAATCTGGAACAGCTTGAGCGCACCAGCTGGATTTCAGTATCGGTAGCGACGCCACATTATTCGTAATCGTCAACAGAGTATCGGGAAGGGCAACATTTCTGTCTAATCATCATCATCATCATCATCATCAGCAGCCTGACTACGTCCACTGCAGGACAAAGGCCTCTCCCATGTTCCGCCAGTTAACCCGGTCCTGTGCTTGCTGCTGCCAATATATACCCGCAAACTTCTTAATCTCATCTGCCCACCTAACCTTCTGTCTCCCCCTAACCCACTTGCCTTCTCTGGGAATTCAGTTAGTTACCCTTAATGACCAGCGGTTATCCTGTCTACGCGCTACATGCCCGGCCCGTGTCCATTTCTTCTTGTTGATTTCAGCTATGATATCCTTAACCACCGTTTGTTCCCTAATCCACTCTGCTCTCTTCTTGGCTCTTAAGGTTACACCTACCATTTTTTTCCATTGCTCGCTGCGTCGTCCTCAATTTAAGCTGAACCCTCTTTGTAAGTCTCCAGGTTTCTCCTCCGTAGCTAAGTACCGGCAAGATACAGCTGTTATATACCTTCCTCTTGAGGGATAGTGGCAATCTACCTGTCATAATTTGAGAGTGCTTGCCAAATGTGCTCCACCCCATTCTTATTCTTCTAGTTACTTCAATCTCGTGGTTCTGCTCCGCGGTTATTACCTGCCCTAAGTAGACATAGTCGTTTACAACTTGAAGTGCACTATTACGTATCTCTAAGCGCTGCTTTTTACCGAGGTTGTTGTACATTACTTTCGTTTTCTGCAGACTAATTTTAAGACCCACCTTTCTGCTTTTCTTGTCTAACTCCGTAATCATGAGTTGCAATTCGTCTCCTGAGTTCCTCAGCAATGCAATGTCATCGGTGAAGCGCAGGTTACTAAGGTACTCTCCATTAATTCTTATCCCTAACTGTTCCCATTCTAGACTTCTGAAAACCTCCTGTAAGCACGCGGTAATTAGCATTGGGGAAATTGTGTCCCCCTGCCTTACACCCTTCTTGATTGGTATTCTGTTGCTTTCTTTATGAAGCACTATGGTAGCAGTTGATCCCCTGTAGATTTCTTCCAGGACGTTTATATATACTTCATCGACGCCCTGATTCCGCAGTGTCTACATGACGGCTGATATTTCTACTGAATCAAATGCCTTCTGGTAATCTATGAAGGCTATGTGTAGTGGTTGGTAAAGTGGTTCTGCCTGATAACACGTCCGAAATCGGTGCCAGCACATAATCGCCGTCGTGTACCGGAGGAAAAGGTCTCATGGTTACATAGGTAACGGCTTGGGGCGCTAGGCGAACGTACTCGACAGAACACAAACGTCGTTAAAGTGTAGTTGGAGTGTCATAGCAATAAGGTAGGTCAAGCTGAAGCAAGCCTATTTCACAGTCAATTACGGCAGAGTGCGCGGCAAGAAAGTCCATGCCCAGGATGAGTTCATGAGAGCACTTCTCGAGTACAGCAAAAAGCACAGTTGTGGAGCGGTCAGCAACACTAACGCGTGCGGAGCACATCCCAAGCACGGGTAAAGTTCCACCGTCGGCGACTTGGATGAGCGGGACTGTGGGCGGTGTTAATACATTTTCAAGGCGGCGGCGAAGCTCCGAGTTTGTCACCGAAATGTGGGACCCTGTGTCTACAAGGGCAACAACAAGTGCACCGTCTACTTTAACGTCTATGAGGTTGCGTAGTGTCGGCATAGTCAGAGGATTTGGCTGGCGAATCGTCGATGCAGCGTCACCTCTGGGAGCTGTATTGTCTAGTTTTCCCGAGCCAGATGTGCAGTCGGCGAAGGAGGACGGCGAAATTGGGTGAGCGCGACGATGGGCGACGAGACAGCGCTGAGCGGGACTGGTGGCCGGGAGGGGATGGTGACCGACAACGCACCGTCGACGAACCGTCACCACCGGCTGGCCGAGGCGACTCGTGGCGAGTTGCGAAGGGGCCATCATCTGCCTCAGCGCGACGGTTGTAGCCATAGGAAGGCTGACGCCAATACCACCTGCTACTGCAATAGCGGGCCACGTGACGAACACGATGACAGTTTAAGCAAATGGGCCGGTCATCAGCAGTCCTCCACTCAGCGGGATTGCGAGAGCACGTGGAGCCTCTGGCCTTGGGCGTAGGAAACTGGCGCACGACGGTCAGTCGGTCTGGAGGGGGCGGCGGTGCACACAGATTCCAGGCCAACGTTCGAAAGCTCTTGGCGAACAATGGCGTGCACTAAAGGCACCTATTTGAGAGCTGGACTCACAGGCACCTTCCACCCCGCACCTCCAGGTACTCCGCACTCCACCAAAATGCCACGGAGTGAGAGTAGGCAGAGGGTAGAAATATATTTACAGATTGTACACGGAGTACACAGTGTCCTTGAACCAAGATGGCGGAGTGGCAATCCACAACACGAGTTTTTGTTCAATCGTCATCTTCGTCGCTTGTATGGTGCATTCGTTGGTGTTAATGATGGCTTGTATCACTATTTTGGCTTCCATGTACCGTAGTGCATTCATTTGATTTTTGCCTATCCTCAAGTTTCCTCTTCACTGCTTTGACGCTTCCTCGCTTTCTCAGAGCGTGTTCAATTCTCTCCATAGTATACCTTCTTACATCGGATACCTTACGCTTATTAATCAACTTCTAAAGCTCTGCCAACTCTATTTTGTCTGTTGTACTTGAGTCTTTCAAGCTTTGACGCTTCTTAATGATGTTCTTCGTTTTCTGGGACAGTTTGCCAGTGTCCTGTCTAACTAACGTACCTCCAACTTCAACTGCACACTCCGTAATGATACTCGTCAGATTATCATTCATTGCGTCAACGCTAAAGCTGGTTTCCTCGATAAGAGCCGAGTACTCGTTCTGAAGCGAGACTCTGAATTCCTGTACTTTCCCTCTCAGTGCTAGATCATTGATTGGCTTCTTGCGTATCAATTTCTTCCGTTCCTTTTTAAGTTCAGGTGAATTCTATGGTCACTGCATCGTACCTTGCCAAGCACTTGGCAAGGTGTGTACGTACGTGTTAGTTTATTTTAAGTGCTTTAACGTGAATTTAGCTTATTTGCTTCATCCGTACTTTGTATAAAGTGTGTTTGTTTTGCCACGCCCGTCTCCAGTCTCTCTCAATCCAATCCGTTGCAAGCGCTGTCGAGATAAAACGTGACATGCAGGCCATGTGCATAATGTTGAATAACTTGCTATCTGTAGACGGAAGCGTGTTGAGTCTGGTGACAGGTCGGTGTGTGTCCCAAATGTTCATCAACGCTCCGCCAGTGACCATGAACTTAAGAGTCAGCAAGCCTTTTTATTTATTTATATCATTTTATTTCATAGCTTTTTTTTGAAGCGCTCTCGCAACAGGTGCCTCATTGACGCGACCTGCTACTGCAGAGCAGGCGTAAATGGGTCATTCCAAGTGAAACGACCCAGCCCCAAATTCGACCTCCAGTGATTCTGCTAAAAAAATTGAGCTGGAACGTATATATCTAAGTGTGATGTTACCAAAGCTTTTTTGTTAAAAAAAAGTGTGATCATGCGACCACCGTTAAAAAGTGTAGGCGAAAAGAAAAAGTTAGGCGGGAATAAATTATGCGTATGCAACCTTAAAACTGGGTATGGCGACACATTTGGTTTTAAAGCGTTGTGTTGTCATTTTTCTTTCACGTGACGTCACAACTAAAACCATATATTACTTCTGCGGCCTAAATTGCCTTGGCAAAGAAGCAAGAAAGCACGCGAATTCAGTCATTTTTCGTAAAAGCTGCGGCAACGTTCGTTCAAGCTGCATTTTTTTCTGCTTTTTTACCAGACGTACTATTTGCAAAAAAAAAACGTAATCTAAACGTTTATAAACAACATTTATTAGGAAAAATCCTTACGAAATTGACAAATAGTGATTTTTGGAGAGATTTACTCGTAAGTTAAGCCTCAAGGCCGTCGTGCTAAAAATACATGAGACAATTCATTATGTGATCTCTTGCTTTTCTTTCTTTTGATGTGGAAAATTTTATTCCTGTAAATTTTATTTAAAACTAAAAAAATAGCTTTTCATGTGCACGGTCAATGTTAGGGGTTTGAAGCATTAGATGCATTAAACGTGAAGTTTGACCGTCAGCGTCATGGGGTGTCGGGCACTAGTGATGCGTTAACGAATCAACACGTGATGACGTCAGTCGGCGTCACAAATCGCCGAAGATCGTGACGTCCAGGCCGTTAGCTGTCCACTTCTGCCACTTCATTCGAGCCTTAGCGAAGATTTCTGTGGCATGGTAATAAAGCTGACACGCGTCCGATGCGGTAGGAACGCTGGTGCGACCATTGTCATCCACATGAAAGCAGCTCGCCAACTTTTCATTTGTCTGGTAGCACTTTCCGGATACGCACCAGAACTCGTACTACATTGTTCAGTTAGTAAGAAAGAACTTGCCGCAGTGTCAAAAGGCTCGTGAGTCATGCGTTACTCGCGAACGCTGATTCATGTCATGTGCTCCCGTTGGTGTTCGCTCAAACTAATGGAACCGCAGGGTGCCCTGTCACATGATTTTATTCCTATCTGCAAAAATGATTTCTGAACGACAGCCGCGAGTCTGACCTGCTGCTGGTGAAAACACAACATCAGCAAGATCTCGTTGGTTAGGTTCGGGCTTTGTACAAGTGGTCATGCAGGGAAGTCACTCCCGTGGCATGGAACTACGCATCGAAGACAACTCTAATTTTTGTTGCGGTGGACGATTTTGGAATTGGTTCTCGGTAGGACATATGTATTTTCTGGTAGTCGAATCCTCGATGACGTCTTGAGATTTTACAATGTCATAATGACTTTATCATGTCGTCACTGTCATGTTACGTGTTATGACGTCACGTGATGACGCCATCACATGGAACCATAGCCTGGTCAAATAAAGTTCGATCACGGAGGCAATGTAAACACCACGCCAGGCAAGGGCCTCTAATTTTTGAGGCAATGCAAAAGCACATTACGTGCCGTAAGCTTTTGTTGGGTGGCGTGGCAGCATTAATAGACTGAGAAGAAAAAGAGGATGCCATTCTTCCTCGGGATATGTTATCTGAATACATAAAAGAACCTGCAATTTTCTCTTTTTTTTTGCTTTTTGAAATGCTACTTGACTCATCCACCGGTCTTGTTCTCTTGGCTCGCAGCCGCCAACCTGTCAACCCTGGTGAGCACGCGCGGCTGGAATCCGAGCATGTGGCGGCGCGTGTCGACGCTGATGCTGGAACGCTTGCTGTTCCTGCGGACGCGTTGTCTGCATCAACTGCTGGCCACCCTGATGCCCCTGGTGGTGCTGGTGAGCGCCTTCCACTGGATGGCCGCTGGCAAGACGGAAAGCCAGAACGCCACCACTCTGAACATCCGGGTGCCAGTGTCCCTGCGAGAAGTCTACCCCGAGGCTCGCGTTTTCCTCGACGACGACGAAGAGGCCGAGAAAGGGATCAGCCCGTATTTTATGCATCTGGTGAGGGCGCGGGTAGAGCCATTAGCCTAAAAGCGTAACTCGGGTCGGCTGCGTAATGACTAGTACTTTTCGTATCACTACATGATAGCTAATACTGGCCTAATACTAGCCAGTGGTTTCAGTACCACTTCACAAGTATCGGCGTTACCGGTAACACCTTACTCTTTTCGGTAACTTAGCGACGTGCTCGTTAACAATACTGAACTGTAACGGGTAACGTACGTACATTACCTTTTTTCTTGGTGTCACGAGGTCTCACTTGTTACTTCGTATTCCAATTATTCCGGGAGTTTCACGCGAAACTCATTCGTCCCACTACTTTCTCAGAATTCCCACAGTATTGCACTGTCGGTGTGCCGAACTGCTGACAGCCCTTAAGGAGTTAAAAGTAACATCCACTGTGCCCGTCAGTGCACTTCAACTGTCGAGGCAAGAATACCAGCCTTTATACTGTTGAAAAGGTCTGCCGGGAGACGCGTCGCTGGGAAATGCCGGCAGTCAACGCAAACTCGTGATGTTGATGGTGGTTGGTCCTTTAGAGAGAAACCAAAGGTTTTTTTTTTCGTGTGTGGTGCCCTGACTTGCTTTTCAACATTGATTTTAATTATGTTCTAAGCTATAATACCGTATAGATTTCATAGATAATGCATGTGCGTGCACACAAATCTATCTCACCAATCCCCAGATCACCTTGAAATTTCGGTGTCAGTTCTCTTTTTAAGTGGAGATCGGTAAACTTTCAAGGCGAAGGGCCGAGTTGTATTAGGCCGATACGATAGAAGCCGCAAAGCGCACTATCAAGGGGAAGAGGGGGTGGTTAAGCAGAAAAACTTCGCCAGTTTTTCAATAATGAAGCAAAAACTGGAATAAAAATTGTGTTTGTATTCAGTGTGCATGTCACTAGGTCGTAATTTATAAATATATAACAACAGGTACTACAACAAAAGGACAACCAAAAATCTCTCTCAGTGCAACTTTTGGTTGGGAACATTCTTAGACAACTCGCGAATATGTGCTCTAAGATTGATCGCTCACACAAGCAGAAAGACGTGGAGGTTGTCATCGTTTAGAGAGGCGGGTAGTTATGGCCCTGCGCCAGGGGCAACATAATACAGCGTCGCATGCCGCAGGTGGTCGAGTTCTGACTAAGCGTACCAGATTTGTCAGTTTCGATAACTTCCCTATGAAATGAAGGGAAATTACACCATTTCTCGCCTATAACGCGTGTTAGAAACTGCAGAGAATTCGTAATTAGGTACACGAGTGCAAGTCATACACAAATTTCGGTGGGCGAGGCGCTTCACAGCAACCCCTCGCTGCATTGCAAGGAGGGTGGTGTTGATAGTGGTCCATGTGAATAACAGTTCTGAGAATACAGGGTGGCAGCGATGGCGTAGGCGTGCGCTCGTGTTCACACGGCGCGGGCCATTTTCTCCCCCAAATTGTCTAAGGAAACGCCAAGTCTGCCCCTTACCTTCACTCAATCGAGACTGTCCATGTAGCGATTTTGCAGAATAATTAGAAAAAACACTGCCGATAGATAGCTAAGGCTCTTGAGAACACGCAAGCCGAACAATACAGTGCATCATGGGGCCTGAGATTACATTTAGGTCTTTAAAATCAGCTAAAATTAGTTCCCTTATCTCTGGACAAATGTCCTTGTCGGGTATCAGCATCGTGAGCTGGATAGTTTCCGCGGCCGCCATGGGATGCCGCCACGTGCCATCTCGCCCACTCGCGTTCACAGTGCAAGTCAGGCGCACGTTCGAAGAAAAAAAAGTGCCTATTTTCATGACACGAACTTACACTCTCCCTTCCCCTTCAAGCAAGCTCGTTAGTACGAAAGGAAAGAGAAAAAGCGCTTGAAGCGTGTGACCAATCATGAAACTTCACTCGTGCTTAATGGACTCAAAACATTTTTGCAGCAGTTGATTCGTGAGGGAATAAAAGCTTTTATTTCAACCAGACTACGTTGTTGTGCTGGGTTATGACCATGTAGTTCTCTGACAATCGTTACCATGCATTTACTGTAGTATTCCAAGAACATATTATTTCCCCATTTACTAACGGAAAGCTGGGTGCCAAAAAAGGCCGTTAATTTTGAGCACGTCGTTCCTTAGCATTGATTTATGCACTTTTTTCGAATCTTTATTTTGTTCTTGACCTTTTGAAGTATGCAAAAGGTAGATCCCTGTCAAAAAACGAGCACTCAAAAAGAGCGCGCCGCCAACTCCTCGCGACGAAACGCCGGAGTGACGCTGCGAGGTCAACAATAAAAGAAAAAGAAAAAAAGAAAACAAGCTCTCCGGGCACGCTACCTCTCCCCGCGGAAGCGTGGCTTCGCCGACGAACCTCCTCATCCCACAACGGCGGCCGAGCAAGCACTGGAAATTTCTAGAAGGAAAGGGGCGTGTTATGCCGGGTTGAGTCATCTGTCGGGGACGGCCCTCGTACAGTCTCGCGCCTCTCCCCAGCCTTCGCTGCGTATCGCACCGACGAAATGACGAGAACCTTCTGGAATCTCGCGCGGAAGGTATTTAATCGAGCGGCCGAGACGAGAGATCAGGAGAAGACGGAAGTTAGCGCCCGAGCGCGTAGGGATTCCGCCGGGTAGTCGGCGAAGGTTTTGTCCGTAGCGACAAAGCGGGAGAAGAAGAAGAGGATTTCCACCTGAGGGGTGAAGGCTCGAGCTACAGGCAAGAGCGTGTGTCTACCGCTATCGAGCGAAGACGCGTGGCAACAGCTGCGTGTGTGAAGCCGACGTGTTTCCGGCGAAGAAGTTGGAAGCTTGGAGAGAGGCCAACTGAAGACGCGAGGTTTCCTGAAAGAGAACCTTCAGGGGCAGCGGAACGACAACAACGCTAGACTTTGAGTGAGTGATTCTCGGAAGAGTATCATCTAGACTTTTGTTCCAAGAACTTTGGACTGAATAGGTTTTCTATCTCTTTAGTCTCTAAGTGTCTTGGTTGTTCAATGCATGCGACTGCATTGTAGTGCGTATTGTTGTCTGTGTCCGTTGTTTCGAGTGTGGCTGATTGTACTGTGTAGTACGTTGTTTGATTGGTGACATATTGTATGCAACTATTGTGGAGTGTGCATTCTCGTGCGTTGTTTTCGATCTGCCATTATTGAGAATATAATTTTGTTTGTTTATCAACTCTCGGCTCTGACTTGTTCTTTGGGCCACAGCCGGCGTCCGCTGGCGCGCCAAAAAGGACCACTTCTAAATTGTCCACGCTTTCGTGGTGCGGTTCGGGGGGCCGATACTTCGGCCCTTGGAATTAGCCCGGCGATCGCCTCCCTAATTAATGGGACCTCTGTCACAATTAATCTGGCGTTCGCGACACAGGACATTTTTGTGCACAGTGTGTCCAAAATAGTGAGAAAGAGCCTCGAGTTGTTGATAGTGCTATCGGATCGATTTTGTGTGTTGCTCAGTGATCTCGTTAACGAGTGCAGGAGAGTGTTCTGATAGACTGATTTGGGCAGATACTTTTTGCACGCGGCAAGGTTTTATTTGCGAGACACAATGGATCTCGAAAAGTTAGTCGCTCTTGGTGAGAAGATGGGCCTTTCTGGCGCTGAACTACGAAAGTGGGTCACCCGGAAGGAAAAAGAAGAAAAAGAGAGAGCCAAGGAAGAAAAAGCAGCTGAGTTGGAACGAGAGAGGTTGGCAGCTGGAGAGCCAAGGAAGAAAAAGCAGCTGAGTTGGAGAGAGAGAGGTTGGCAGCTGCGAGAGAGAAAGAAGAAAGAGAGGCAAATGAGCGACAGCTGAGAGAAGAAAGAGAGCAGCAATTGAAGTTGGAGCTGGAGAGAGAAAAGATGGCAGCCGAAAGGGTAAGAGAAGAAAAAAAAGCAAAGGAGCGATAGCTGAAGGAAGAAAGAGAGCAACAATTGAAGTGGGAGCTGGAGAGAGAAAAACTGGCAGCTGAGAGGGCGAAAGAAGAAAGAGAAGCGGAGATGGCTGAAAGAGAACGGCAGCGGCAGCACGAGATGGAACTCGAGCGGCTCCGTTTGCAACAGCGAAGTGAAACTCCCGTCCAAGCTAGAGTTGAAAGCAGCGAACGGGAAGATCATGGCTTCCACTTGAACCCGAGCAAGCTGCTCGTAGCGTTTGATGAAAGGAAGGATGACCTTGACGCGTACCTTCAACAATTTGAGACGATTGCAAGGAGCCAGAATTGGCCGGAACATCAATGGGCAACTGCTTTGAGCACTTGCTTGAGTGGTGAAGCTCTCAGTGTGTACGGTAGGCTGACGCCGACCGATGCAGCCAACTATGCAAAGGTGAAAACTGCTTTGCTGAAGCGATTTAGATTTACTGTGGAAGGTTTCCGGGACAGATTTCGGACAGGAAGGCCAGCTGATGGTGAGACGGCTACACAGTACGCCGCCCGACTTAGCCATTATTTCGACAGATGGATTGAACTTTCAGGGACAGCGCAGGAGTGCGATGAGCTTAGAGAGCTCCTAATTAGAGAACAATTTCTTACTAGTTGCCACCCAAGCCTGTCGCTGTACTTGAAAGAGAGGAAGGCTGAGTCACTTGAAGGCATACTCGAATTGGCTGATCAATTCTCGGAAGCGCAAGGTGGAACTAATTTGGCCAGGGTCAAGAAGGAGTGTCCTGAAAATTCGAAGAAATCGGCTCCCGAAGAAAAGAAGCGTGCACGGGAGAGCACTCCGCGTTGTTTTCTGTGTAACCGAGTGGGTCATCGCGCGAAAAACTGTCGAACGATCTTTACGAGCCCTACGGTAGTAAAATGTTTCAAGTGTGGTCAGACTGGGCACAAAGCAGACGCTTCTCGGAACGGAATGAGTCAAACTCACCAGGTATCCTGTGTGCAAGCGGCACCGAAATCTGATAATAATGCCGTCACCGATGGATTCGTAGAGTTGAAGAATGGGGAGAAAATTCCTATTGTGGGTGCTGTAATGTCAAAAAAGCCAACCGGTGTTACGAAGGGAATGCCGACGCTGCCTGGAAAGGTTGCAGGCAAGAAGATTACGGTTCTAAGAGACACCGGTAGCTCAACGGTTATCGTGCGGAGAAATTCGGTACGGGAAAATGAGTTGACAGGCAGAACCAAACCGGTTTGCCTAATTGACCGGACAGTTCGGATGCTTCCCGAAGCAGAGATTGAGGTGAAAACCCCGTACTTCAGCGGGAAGGTTACCGCTCTATGTATGACGACCCCCCTTTACGACCTTGTCATCGGAAACATCGACAGGGCGCGAGGACCGAATGATCCGGAATTTTCTGGGAGAAGACCCTAAGAGAGAGCCCTCGCCAACACAGCGGCCGCGAGATACAGTGGAGGAGCATCCCGTGACGGATCTCAAAAGAGCCCAAGGTGAAGCCGCAGCGCAAGAGACAGCGAATGAGAAGATGATCGTGTTGAATGAGTTCACGGGCCGAGCAACCGGACTTACGTCGGCACGACCTCAACCGACCGACAGTGTAAAGGTGACGGAGTCGGCCAGCCGGGCCAAATGTCGAGACATGAACAAGCTGGTAAATAAACAGACAGGACCCGTCGAATGTTATGACACGTTAGCAGTGTGAGAAGTGACAACGATGGCTGAGACACCGCCTCAGATACCGTCGTTGGGAGGGGCTCGCCGCAACAAAACGAGCAAAAACAATAAGAAGAGATCGAGAGAGCACCGCAAGAAAGGGCGCAAGCGCCGCTCGAAATACACACGATAGGTGCTGAGGTGAATCGAATTGTGTTTGGCAGGGCTGAGTGCCATATGTTGTGTTAATGTACTTGTTGTCCTGTGTCGCAACTGTATGTTGAGTGAGTCAAAATGTTTGTTACGGTGATGTGATGTATAGTATTGTATAATTGTTGTAATGAGAGAACCTTGTACATTTGTATTGTTTGGAATATGTGATGGAGTGTTGCATTCATGTACCTGTGGCTCTATTTCATGTGTTGTGGAATTGAATTACAATATACAGTTGTATTGAGTGATCTATTGTGAATGGGAAGTGTCATGAGTGACGGATTGTGTGACAGTCTGTGAGAGTGTGTGATGACTGTTCGCGCTCGTTTGTGTGGTTTTGAATATTATGAGATAATATTCTTAAAGTGGGGAGCAGTGTCACAGAATGTGCGCTCAAAAAGAGCGCGCCGCCAGCTCCTCGCGACGAAACGCCGGAGTGACGCCACGAGGTCAACGATAAAAGAAAAAGAAAAAAGAAAACAAGCTCCCCGGGCACGCTACCTCTCCCCGCGGAAGCGTGGCTTCGCCGACGAACCTCCTCACCCCACAATGGCGGCCGAGCAAGCACTGGAAATTTCTAGAAGGAAAGGGGCGTGTTATGCCGGGTTGAGTCATCTGTCGGGGACGGCCCTCGTACAGTCTCGCGCCTCTCCCAAGCCTTCGCTGCGTATCGCGCCGACGAAATGACGAGAACCTTCTGTAATCTCGCGCGGAAGGTATTTAATCGAGCGGCCGAGACGAGAGATCAGGAGAAGACGGAAGTTAGCGCCCGAGCGCGTAGGGATTCCGTTGGGTATCGGCGAAGGTTTTGTCTGTAGCGACAAAGCGGGAGAAGAAGAAGAGGATTTCCACCTGAGGGGTGAAGGCTCGAGCTACAGGCAAGAGCGTGTGTCTACCACTATCGAGCGAAGACGCGTGGCAACAGCTGCGTGTGTGAAGCCGACGTGTTTCCGGTGAAGAAGTTGGAAGCTTGGAGAGAGGCCAACTGAAGACGCGAGGTTTCCTGGAAGATAAACTTCAGGGGCAGCGGAACGACAACAACGCTGGACTTTGAGTGAGTGATTCTCGGAAGAGTATCATCTAGACTTTTGCTCCAGGTACTTTGGACTGAATAGGTTTTCTATCTCTTTAGTCTCTAAGTGTCTTGGTTGTTCAATGCATGCGACTGCATTGTAGTGCGTATTGTTGTCTGTCTTCGTTGTTTCGTGTGTGGCTGATTGTACTGTGTAGTACGTTGTTTGATTGGTGACATATTGTATGCAACTATTGTGGAGTGTGCATTCTCGTGTGTTGTTTTCGATCTGCCATTATTGAGAATATAATTTTATTTGTTTATCAACTCTCGGCTCTGACTTGTTCTTTGGGCCACAGCCGGCGTCCGCTGGCGCGCCAAAAAGGACCACTTCTAAATTGTCCACGCTTTCGTGGTGCGGTGTGGGGGGCCGATACTTCGGCCTTTGGAATTAGCCCGGCGATCGCCTCCCTAATTAACGGGACCTGTGTGACAATCCCACACGCACTTTAAAGGACAAATAACCGTGCGCATGCGTTAGGAAAATATCTCAGACCAAGTTGATATGAACGTTCTGCAATGTCCCAACAGTGTAGGCGCTTATACAAGAAAGGAACGAATGCCAAAAAAATTATTTTCGCAGGTAAAGGAGTGGATAATACGTGGCTGTAGGCATCGGTCGGCAAACTCACTCGTGAGTTGACTCGCTCGGACTCGCTCAGTCTCGGATCAAGCCATGAGCCTGAGATTGAGTGAGTCCAAATCAGTAGTATTTTGACGAGTTTGAGTCTGACTGAGTTCGGTTGAAGAAGATGTTTGTTAGTGTGAGTCCAGCTCAGGCAAAATGTTGGTGACTCTGAGTCCGAGTGAGCTCCACAGTTTTTGCCGTGCTATGGGTGTATGGGTCAAGATTTCCGTGGGCCGTAGTTTCCGTGGGACTAGATCTTCGCGGACCGCAGATGTGGTGTGACCTATGCGAATGAAAATATGCTTAAAATATGTTTTTGTTGTTCAGTACCGCGTGCGAAGAGAGCTTCAGTAGTGCTCGTTGCACCAACACGATTGTTTCGTTTGCGCAGCTGGAGGAGGACAGAGCAGTGGTGACACGCTACAACGACACAGCGGAGGATGTGCTGCTCGCGGAGGCCGAAAAGGACTACGTGTCCTACACTACAAGCATGGTGCTCGGTGCAGTGTTCCGCAACAGGGAGTGAGTCACGCACAATAACGTTCCATTCATGCGCAGACATCGTTATTCTTATCAGAGGTTTCATACTTACGTGTAACGAGGAGGCGTAGCCGTAATTATTGTGTACGGGTATGTGCCACAGAAATCGGGTGAATCTCAATGCTCACCGGTGCTCCACTAAACATGAAGGCAGCTGTTAGGCCAACGAATGGCCTTGAAGCGACGACGGCGAGCTGAATACCCCGAATACGTGTAACGGGAGAATACTAAGCAACGGGAGAGGTGACGGTGGCTGCAAGAACAAATGGTCGAAATGCACAGATAGCCTTGTTTAACTCGTGACAATTTTATAGCAGTTTCTTTCTGTTGTTTATTTGTAAGCAAAAAGTGCTAGTCGTGATTAGCGGAATGACAAAAAAGGTAAGCAAAGAAAATGGCACAATGTAAAAAAGAATAACAGTCCGATGCGATAGGAGGCCAATAAGCAAACAATGACGGGCCCGCAAATTTAAGAGACGTGCGAGCTCTTTGTTTTCAGCGCACAGTTCCTGCAGTTTGGACATTCCTGTCGGGTCTCTGGCTGTCTGTGGCTTAACTCGAACCTCTCTGCGATTGGAATCAACGTAGAAACAACCTGACACCATCTACCCAAAGCATGACAACTATCTCAAAAATAAACAATCTACCTGGATCACCTAGCAGAGGCCTAGAAACAAGCGAGAAGCGTAACAGAGCTGCAAATTGGGCTGAAAATGTTTGTTTCGATACGGCCCGCACAATAAAGCTATCGAAGCAACCACATAGGTATTCTGAATCGTCCAATTTTTCTGTTTCAAGCCCTAGCAGCGCAAGCTTCGCCAGTTTTCCAAAGATTGCAGCGCACTGTGTTTTTACTAGCGTTTGACTCGACAAAAAATAAAATTTAGGACCTTTACTACTGCGCTCGTAACATTCAATTTGAGAAGGTGTATACAGAATTAGAGGTATACCTCTAATTCTGTGTTATTGTTAAACAATGGCTATATATAGCCATTGTTTAACGAAGACACACTGCATATGCATGTTATGTGCTACTGAAAAACGTCTGTTTTCTGTACCATGCACCCATATACGTATAATTGATATTTTAGCATTGAGCTTTTCAGGCGGGCTGCTGAAGCATCATTCGGTATGGCGGATAGTTAGGATACAGTGCCTATAAGGCCTACAACCTCTTTCAATATCATGCGGTTCCAGTGTTGTGCAATCTACAAGTACAAATAATGTCCAAGGCTGTCGTTTCCCTGATTCTTTGCCAATCCGTGGTTCAGAGGCCTTGTTTTCAGTTCACGACAGATAATGCATCAGTTAATAAATCATTCATTCAGTTAAAATTCATGTATCTTAGAAATGTTGACGATGTTTAGGGCTCTGTGTTTACTGGGTGGGCCCTTAAAGACGCTAACATTGGCAACATGTGACCTTCAACGAATAAATATTCGCATAAAATTCTTAATATAGCATAAGGGAGTGAGGCTGTTTCAAAGTATCTGCAGGGATCACATCAAATATTTACCATATCATGCGAAGTGTTACAGTAGGATTGACATCAAACGCTTCGTACAACTTGTGGTAGAAGTGGAATCGGTAAAAACACAGCCGACACTTACAAAGCAGCCCAATTTTAGTTTTAGCTTAATACAGTGCAAACAACTTCATCATAAGAAGAGACCTCTAACTGTAAAAGAAACTGAAAAACAGAACCTGAATTTTCAAAAAGTACTGCATAGAATAAAAAAGTACTGTAATTACACACACAAAAAACATATCCTGAGGATGCTGCATTGAGCCTGCCGTCTCTTACTGCCATGCAGGTTGGAGGCCTGGTACAATCCGTACGCCATCATGAGCAAGATTATAGCGTACGGCCTCGTGAGCAGTGCCTTGCTCGCATACAAGGAGAAAAGCTACTGGGCTCGCATTGAGACGACGCTGGAGGTGCACTTGCCAGAGGTAGGGGTACTGTTCCTAATTCGGCTGCAGTCGTTGGTCAAGTGTTTCGCGGCACTCTAACGAAGAACTTCGCATTTGACTGCTGGAAATCGAGGGCCCCAAGCACATTCAGCCGGATCTCTTAAACGGCACATCGTTCCAGCTTGAAGTCGCTTGCTCTCTCTCCTCTGATAAATCGCCGGTATCTTCTAATGGAATGTAAGAGTCAGCAGATTGATTTCCGAAAGTTGATAATATATGTGGGGTTTAAGGTCCCCGAAACCAAGATATGATTATGAGAGATGCCGTGATGGAGGACTCCGGAAAATTTGACCATCTGGTGTTCATTAAGTGCACTGATATCGCATAGTACACTGGCCTCTACCACTTCGCCTTCATCGAAGTGCGACCGCCGCGACCAGTATCGAACCTGCAACTTTCGTGTCGGCAGCCGAGCACCCTAACTACTCACTGCACCACCGCGGTGGGAAATTTGCAAGAGATTGAAAGTGTGACAGTGGTTGGTGGAGTGTTAGGTGGGTGGACGAGTTTACCTAGGGCTTCCGCTGGGAGAACGTGTCTTCAGGATAGCCAAGCACCGCGGGTTGATTGAAGGTATGTGGGATAGCTTTTGCCCTGCGCTTGGGGGTGTCAGGCTACTGAGTAGGTTGCTGCTGCTGATGGTTACAATAAAGCAACGTAATATAGAGCTATTTCAATCGAGAACAATATGAGAGGGAACACCAAGCTGGTGCTTACGATTAGCTGCATTTAATCCGAAGTAATTTCATTTATTTAATTTATTCTTTTATCATGTGATATGAGCACTTGCTTGCGGTCAGGACAAAAGAAGGCGGTAAACTCGCTGACAATGTCTTGCTCGCGCTGGGCGTAAACCAAGCAGTGCTTACTTGCATATTCATAATCACGAATTTCATGAAATCGCCAAAGTAGTAGTTAGCTTGACCACAAAACTATTCTGCGTTATACGATCTTCTGATAAATAGTAATAGGCACTGGTATTTAACATAACTACCACGTTTTGATGCGTCTAGATACATCAAGTGTAAAATAAAAATCATTACGTTGCGCATATATATGTACTTATATGAATGCATAAAGATATCCACACACATAAATGAGGAAAACCTCCACGGTGCGGACATTTTGAAGTAAAAAATGTTGAAACTTAGCAACACAAACAGAAATGTGCGAACGCATTGGAAGGATGGTAATCTAGAGCACTCAGCTAGGTCTGTTTAGGACGAAGCTTTCAGGGTCTGATGCTAGAATTCGCACAGTGATTTTTTTTTTTGCTTAAGGAGAACTACTGCGTTTCATAGAGTAACAGGAAGGCCACATAAGCTATGAGGAATGTCAGGTTGAGAACTGATCCGCAGTCACTGTAGCATTCAACGGTGCCAAGAAAGTGTGGGGGAAGAGCTACTTAGAGGTAGTGCATCAGCCTAGCATGCAAGAGGTCCCTGGCTCGAATGCCAATGCTGGACAACTCCCAACCGGATATATTATAAAAAAATTCTAATGATGGAATCGCAAAAAAAGGGCCTGGGGTGCAGCCTCACTAGTGACAAGAGCCGGTAATACACTCCCTTAATAAGAGCAGGATTGACCACCCTGGTGCAGCCTACTTGGCCAGTATACCTGCCACGTGTGACGTATACTGACTTTGCAAGAGATACATTTCCGCTATACGATTAAGTGTTATGAAACACTTTTGCTCTTGCCAGTCGCAATTAGCCGCCATGGACTTTAGAAGGTAAACTTAGTGTTTCCGCTGGCATTGTTCACGATTGTACATTTCGCGTCCAGGTCGTTAAGCCCGAGCACAGCCATCGGCAGAAGGGTGATCCGGGTTCTGAATACTTCGAGGACGACCCCATGGGCCACGTGGACTTGCTGGTGCACAAGATGGCGGCCATCTGGGCTGTTATGGCCCCGCTAGCGTCGGTGCTCATCGTGTCCTCGTTCGTGACTTTCCCAAGCGCCGAGCACTGCAGCCAGTTTATGCAGCTGCTGTTGATGACAGGCGTTCCCGGGTGGCTGCATTGCTTGTGCCACCTCCTCTTCGACTGTGCCCTCTTCGTCTGGATCATCTTGCCAACCTCTGTGGCATTCGCTTTGTACTACGAAGTGCATACGATCGCTTACAGTGAGCATTTCACGATCATCGCGTGATTACACACGTGATTACACACGTGATTACTAATTTACGTACCTGTTACCAATGAATGAATCAATGTTGAACAGATCAGCCAGTTCCACATCGTTAAAACTGTCGGGCCAGTGTGCCTGATTGGGTGGTGAACACACGCGGAGTAGTAAATCCGCTGCTGGATTTCAAGTGCGCACGCTAATTCTGGCCCTGAGATGGACCACCAAGTACGGAATCATTTTGTTAAGATATAGTGATTTCTACTTCTCTGCTGGTGTGAATTCTCGTCGGTGGTGTATTCCCGAATGAGCAATTTTTCACATGAGCAAGACGTTCGCAAAGAAATGTCTATGCCGATTGGGCCAACTCGACGAAAGTGACTTCACTGTCGGCGGCACTTTCGCTGCGATGACGAGAACCTTCAGAGATATGGCACTAAACTGTTTTCTATGGTACAAAAAGCGCGAACTTAAGCTCGATAGCGTCTGCTAATCTGACCAAGCAACATCCGCGTGTCGACAGACGTCGGATATAGGGTTGACGCCACCATGCCAACCTCCTATGCGGATAGCAGCAATCATTCTATTCTTCTATGTCAATAATACATTGTGCATCGAGTGATTCGACTTGGATTTGATTTATGGTAGCATTCAGCTCTAAGTTCCTGTTTTGCATATGAATGATAATGAAAATATTGCTGTGAGCTTTTCTCTTTTGTTTGGTATGAGGAATCGGAAAATGTGGGGTGGGGCTGGTGCCGATGTTTGCACAAGCAGACTTTTTTTTTCAAGGCTGCAACTAATTTCCTAATTACTTGTGTGTAAATGTTGTGTGTACATGTAAAATCACTGTGTGTAATTACTTGTGTGTGGGAAGGGGGAGAATTAGCGAGGACAGTGAGAGGCCGCCATGGCGACTTCGGTGAGTCAGAAGGAAGAAGGTATTGTTTGAAAAAGAAAAAAAACGAAGAAAAAATGTTGTTTTATTGCAACTCATCTTCTAGAAATTTCGGTATACTGCTTTAATGTCTATTTGTTGTGCCATCGAGGCATAATGAGTGAAAAGAATATAATAAACTTTTTTCGCAGAGGCCCTGTTTGTGGTGTTTGCCATGTCCGGCGTCCTGTTCATCCTGTCTGCATACGTCATTGCTTACTCCTGCAAAACAGCCTTCAGAGCCTACGTCGTAGTGCTTGTCGTATTTGGCCTGTTCGGTGAGCTCTCCCTCTCGATCTTCATACGTTTCACATCATTCGATAAGTAGTCAGCAAGACGTGCATTGAGAAGACAAGAGCCAGTGATTCACAAAAAGGTACCAGCATAAGGTTTTCATAAATACACTACTGCTTCTGGCTTCAGCCAGCATAAGAATAAGTGGTAGTACACAAATTTATGTAATCATCCTTCTTTCGGCTCCGTCTGGTTTTGCGTGGCTTCCAACTGCTTTGATGACAATCAGCGAATTTTCAGCGGTTGTACTTCACTACTTTAAACTTTGAGTTTCACCACTTCAAAAAAAATTCCGCCATATCCACGAAGTGAATGATGATGAGTGGGCGAAGCTCCGGAGGTAAACCTGGTAAACCATGAATCGTCTGTACATTTTGCCCACTCGATTTTATTACATCACTCCCCCTAGCGTACGTCGCCGCACTAAATCGAACGATTGCCTTCAACCAATGACACGCGCCATATGTGACATCATTCCTATTTTATAAGATCTCGCGTCTTTCATCAACTACAAGTACCGCTTTCTAGTTTATAACATCTTGCATCTTTTCATCATCAGCTACAAGTACCACCATCTAGTAAACACTACAAGAACTAAACGAGAGGTGGCTACATACAGGAGACGGTACCGCCATCTAGTGAACACTGCAAGAACTAAACTAGAGGTGGCTACATACAGGGGACGGTACCGCCATCTAGTGAACACTGCAAGAACTAAACTAGAAGTGGCTACATACAGGCTACAGGGGACGCACAGCCCACGCCCTAAGGAGCTTCGCCCCTAAAAGGTCACGAAGTTCACGACGGTACGTTCTTTTGTCGAGACAAAACTAAAACACAGCAAAAAAAAACCACAAATGTGTTCCCAGCGAGCAAGCGCTAAACCGAAACGAATTCGGGCACTACGGTACTATGCACCATTTCTATCGTAGCTGAATGATCGCAGCGTGAGAGTCCCCTATAGTTTATTTCAGAAAAATTTGTTTGTGACGGACTGGGTTCGAGTTGTGGGGCACCAGAAAGGTGTGAAGATGCGATTAGCATTAGAACTTTGCGGCATAACTGGACCGCCGCTATGGCTTGGGACAAGTTAATCGGTAAAAATGTTGTACAGCCTTTTGCCAAGCAGTGGGAGTGGTATGGCTAATGATGATGGCGACGACTTGGCAGGATTTGTCAAATGTTCCGTAGGAACGCTTTAGTAATTTAGCTCCGTTATTTGCCCACATTGCTGGAGCAGTGATTATGGTGCTCGGCTGTTCACCCGAAGGTCTGAGGTTTGATCCCGGTCGTGGCGGTCACACTTCGAGCGGGGTCAAGTGCCAGTGGCCCGTGTACTGTGTGACGTTAGTGCACCTTAAGGAACACCAGATGGTTGAAATTGGCGGGGCCCTCCAATACTCATCTCTCATAAGAACGCCTCCTCTATAAAGGTGCCTGAAGAATGGCTCGCGCTCCCAGCGGAGTTGGCCTGCCTTCAGTTTTAAACAAGCTCTGCGTGGTGGCGCTCGCGACCGACACTATCATCATGGCGGCGGCCGGTACCAGCTAAGCGTTTTTCATCTGCGGCCCATAGGGGCGCGTCAGTCGAGAGTTGTTCGAAACCTGCAATTGTGCACCACTCTTTCGGAGGCCATGCAAAGTGTTGCGTTGTTGCACCGTCCACCACAGGTGACGCTAGTGACCGAGAACATTTTAAAATGAAGGAGGGAAAGGGTGTGGCAGCTGTTTTTCTTCTCATGCGGCAGGCATCTTTCTAGAGGAGGTGTTGCTCATAATCATATCGTGTTTTAGGGACGCAAAACACCAGATATTATCTTAACAGGGAAGATGTTATGAGTTTAGGCTTTTAAGTCCGGGTATCGTGGTAACAGTGATGGGAAACGAAAACTAGCAACCGTCAAAAAATACGGCAGTTCTAATTATACTTACCATCGGTTCATCAAGGCAACAGCAAGCCCAACAAACGTGTACGTGCCATCGAAGTCCGTGTGGCGTATCAGAAAGCTATAATCGGCATAGATGTGCATGTATCGCACACGCTGGTTAAATACCACTACACCCAACTCCCAGTAATAGAAGGCAACTACGCAGTAAGCTCAACAAGTATATATAGGGCGCGCGTTACCATAGTCGCATCACTGTCACGTGGTTATAAAAGCTTGCGGCTATGCTACCACCTCGAAGCTTCACAAAGAGTATGTAATAGAGAGCAGTGATACCACATACCTAAAGGCCTTCAAAAACACAGAAACGCGATAGCCCGATGAAGGAAGGCCACCAGCTTCACTGTTTCATTACTGTCCCCGAGGCGGAGCTAGTTAAATCTTTACTCCCCAGTATTCACGAAAAGATTATACGGCGTTTATCCCGGGCAGGCGCTCTGACGTTCTTCGCGACCGTACGACTGGCCACGGGCGGGCACGACGCCGGTTTCCTGTGCAGCGCTTTGCCGCCCTGCGCCGTGCCCATGTCGTTGATCAAGGTGGTCGCCCTGGACTGGTCTCGTCGCGCCTGCAGGCAGCTCGCCCTGGAGCGGCTCGACGACACCTCGGCGCTGATCGCGTTCTGCCGCACGGTTGCCGACTACAAGGCCACCTACCACGAGGAGATGTTCGCCGGTCTTCTCAGGACGCAAGTGGACATGTGCTGCGAAAGTGCGTATACGCTTCTGCTGTCCTTATCACTTAAAGCATCGCAAACGACAGGGCAAGAAGTGGACACCACGAACGCTTCGTAGTGTCCGTAGAACTTTTGAAACCGTTTTTAGTGCCGACTTCTTGTCCTGTCTTTGTCGCGCTGCTTTAAATAATATGGCACAATACGACCTAGACTAGCTGTCTACCCTACCATCCTGTTCCTTATTGATAAATGCCTCATCCAACCAGAAAGTTTACCGCTGGCGGGAACACGAGTGATGCAAAGATTGTCACTACCAATGACATCATGGTGCCACCAAAATTTGTGACGTACTTACGATGTCACATCATGACGTCACACGATGAAATCTCATGAAATCTCCTTGGTGAATGGTGGGCTGATCACGGAAGCAATACGAAACCAGGTGAGTTGCAAAAAGATTGAAATGCCTCCGAGCTCGAAGGCAATAAAAATACGTTAAGTGCAGGAAGCTTTCGAAGGGGGGGGGGGGGGCTGGATCAATTTATTAACTGAGAAGAAAGAGCAAAAGTCTACTTTCACTTTCCTGTCGTGTAAGGCTGGCCATTGGGGTTTTTCGCAATGGGAAATATACTTACATTCGATGAGTATTAGAGTCACCATTGTTGTCACCGTCAAGTTCGTATAATGTGCCCACCAGTAAGATTACCCGGCACGTCGTATGTTCTACGTGCTAGGCCTACCGCCTTTCGTAGCCCTAAAATAGATACAAAACGTGCCGGCATACCTTACGTTTGCTCTGCAAACACAGCGTGCTTTTGGGTTCAAGTTATAAATAGAAGGAAGGTCGCTTCACTTGCTCGAGTGGTCCTATCCCCTTCCGCCAGCTTTTTTTTTTTCTGAATGCATCGGAGGGGCGTTGCAATGAGAGGCGGTGCGATGAATTTACTCGCCTTTTTGATCATTGCAAAGACATATCAGTGTTGTGACAGAGTGGATTCTTTGTCATGGAGTGACTCCTTATGGTATACAAGTCAGTATGATGCATACAGGTGTAGAGGCCTGTGTACTAGTGCGAAGGCAGTACGCGTTAAAGAGCGCTAGATGGTCAAAATTTTTGGAGCCATCCTATAGGAGGGCACACCGACGCTACTTTTGTGCCATGTGAAACATCCTTAAAATGACATGATGGCGAGACAGTATTCCTACTTCACTTGCTTATCAGTTTAAGTGTTCAACCTACCTTCCTTCACTCGAAGCTTTCTGCACTTAACGTGGTTTTCCACTGCTTCCGTGATTAGCCCATGTTTGATCAGGCGATGGTGTCACGCGATGACGTTACGATGGGACGGCACGTTGCGTAGCGTCATAGACGTCAGGATGTCATACCATTCGGCGATCTGCGACGTCACGATGGTATCATATGGTGATTTCATCACGGTATGATTACTTTTTTGCCTCATTCATATTCACGCCGATGCAAGTGGTCAGTTTTTTTTTTCGTTATGAGACGAACGCTTCGCTAGAATCATAACTTCTGCTCGCAGTGCTGGACGCGGATCTCAAAGGCCAGGTCGACTGGAGCCCGCTTAATCCGTCAAAGGTGGGCGTCGGCTTGGAGGTGTACTACCTGTTTACGGAGGCCGTCATTTTATTCGTCTATCTGAGCTGCCGCAACTCTGGCCGATTTTTTCGTCCGGATTCTGTGGGCGACCCGTCACGTGGTTCGACAGGACGCGGAGGTCAACAACGAACGGCGCACGGTGAGCGGTATTTCTTTAATATGGGACAATAGCTCTCGTTCACCGGGTGCCGGCAACTATTGTGACGATTAGTGAGGAGTCGAAGGTTGAAAAGGAAAGCAACTATACGCCATCGGTATCTCTACTTCACGTCATTTAGAGACGGAACTGGCTGAGCCCGTGTCCGGCGTTCCGATGTATATACGCAACTGCGTTGCCGCAATACCAGGCTACCATTTGTAGCGCATCTTTCTGGCCCGCAAGTCACGGGTTCAAATCACAGCTGCGGTGGCTGCATTTCCGATGGAGGCGGGAATGCTGTAGGCCCGTGTGCTCAGATTTGGGTGCACGTTAAAGAACCCCAGGTGATCGAAATTTCCGGAGCCCTCCACTACGGCGTCTCTCATAATCATATGGTGGTTTTGGGACGTTAAACCCCACATACCTACCTAGTAGCGCTTCTTTGCAGTGTTGGCCCTAGGTAGACAAAACTTCAGGAGCTCACTCGGACTCAAATTCACCAGAGTTTTCCCGAGCCGGACTCACTCGAAAATTTTCTTCCACCGAACTCACTCGGACTCAAACTCGGCAAAACATTACTCACCCGGACTCACTCAGACTACAACTCATGGCTCGGTCTGATTCCGAGTAAGTTGACTCACTGTGAGTCCGTTAGCCTATAAAATTAGTGTTTAACACAATGGCGCCGATGCTCTTTAACACTGATATCACACGTAGTCAGTGCTTTGCTTGGCGTCTTTTGATATAGTACCTTCGAATGCGACTTGGGAGTGCTTGCAAGCCAGCAAGGCCACTTTATTGAAAGAAATGACAACATAACAATGATTTGTCGATGAAGTCTTTGGAAGAGCTGGAGGAGGAAGGTGGGACTGTCGCGACGTTTCTATTTATCGATCACGATACTCACAGCACCTTTTGGCATTACAGGGGGGGGGGGGGGGGGGGGGGGGGGGGGGGGGGGGGGGGGGGGGGGGGGGGGGGGGGGGGGAGTGACAATACTGTGGAAATACTAAGTTTGCCAACTAAAAGCAGGTAATTGAACAAATGTACAGCCACAAGTAGCCAAATGCACAAAAAATCAAAACAGCGAGACACATTTAGTATTAAAAACACAGAAGCGAATAGCCCAAAGGCAATCACGAGGACCATTTACCATAGAGATTCGGCAAAGAGGAAGCAAATTAATCGGGGGAGATAACGGTGGCAATGAGTGTCACGAAGCCGTTGGTTGCACTGCAGTGAATTGTTCTGAGAAAAATAAAATTAGTTAATCCTACATCTTATCTCCCTGATTTTGTAGGCATGATGAAAAGTGGGTAAGACGTAATCAGGGTTGTGCAAGTAGTCTTCCCGGTTATTACCATTGATATTATGGAATATATTATGAAAAATGTGAACATAACTATTCCCTACGCTGCTGCAGTGACTCCCATCCAAGACTTTCCTTTGCGCTGGACATGCTAAAGTGACGGATGTAATTGGCGTGAACAAATCTCGCAACTGAATCTTAGAATCTTTTAACGCTTTGAATGCCCCTGCTGGCAAAGATCCCAAACGCAACACGAGTATTCAAGTATTTGTCTAACATATTGGTTTTACACACGAGCTATTTTACTACAAGAGTTAAATTTCTTGCTGTTTTCCAAAGAAAAACTAGAACACTTCATTCTTGCAAGTCACAAAGTCGTAAAAGAAATATGGGATAAAGAATGTTATTTATTTATTTATTTCATTTATTATTTATTAAGTACCTGCTTCGCCATAGGGCATTACAGCAGGGAGGGTACAGTACATGTGATCAAACACATAAAAACATTCACAAAGCATGGCAAAATTCATCACTTGAATCAATAGAGACTGTTTCCGGTGGCAGAGTGTTCCATTCTCTTATAGTGCGGATAAAGAAAGGGTAGCGAAAAGCGTCACCCCCAAAAAGAATCTCGCGTATTTTTAAGTGATGATCGCGTGTTTGAGAAACATAGTTGGGTGGTTGAAAATACAATTGCCTGATAATCCCAGTTCTCGAATGATAAATGCAATGAAAGAATTTTCATCTGAGGTTCCGACGACGGTTTTCAAGAAGATCCCAATTTAATTTTATTCTGCTCTCTGTCACACTGAGCATCCTGTCGTAATATCCAAGGACCAATCGAATTGCTATATTCTGCACTTTTTCAAGTTTATCTGTGAGTTCCTTAGTATATGGGTCCCAGCAGACGCACGCATACTCCAGTATACTACGGACGTGTGTAAAATAGAGCTGCTCTTTAAGTTTTTGTGGTAAACTACTGAAGTTACGTTTCAGAAAACTTAATGTTCCTATCGCCTTGTTCCTAACGTAAGTGACATGTTTATTCCATCTCAAATCAGCAGCGAAAAATACGCCTAGATATTTATATTCCGTGACATGTTGAAGATTAACGTTATTAATCGTGTAATGATTTCTGCAGTTCGAGAGTTTTCTGATAAAGGGGACGTGGACGCTTTTTTTTTTCACATTCAATGACATTTTCCATTTTTCACAGCATGCAGCAATTAAATCTAAATTGCGGGCTGCGGGCCTCACTGGAAAGGCCGGCGGGCCGCTTGTTTGATGCCCCTTCTGTATAGTTGCTAATATTTCTGTCCCGTTTGTCCTTAAATTCAACTTTGCCTCTGACACTGCAGGTTTACCGCGCATGCGCCGACCACACCATGGGCGACTACGCGTTAGTCGCCGAAGAGGTGCACAAGTGGTACGGCGAAGACTACGCCGTGTGCGGCTTCAACCTGGCGCTTCCCCGTGACGAGTGCTTCGGCCTGCTGGGCGTCTACGGCTGCGGGAAGAGCAGCGTGGCCCAGATGCTGGCCGCCCACACCGTCATGAGCATCGGCGAGGCCTACATGGGCGCCAAGAAGCTGTCCGATTCACCGCGACAAGTGAGTTCGCGCCCTCGTCTGATCGTGTCGAAGAGGTCAGTCAAAACGTATCAACGCCCTGTCGTCCAGAGGATAGGCGCATCGAGGCATCTTACCGGAGGAAACCTTGCCGCGCCGTGCCTTAGCAACCGCCAAAGCGGCGTAAGCCGCTAACGCGATGGCGTATAGCACAAAATAGCTTGCCATAGCTATCTCCACGTCAAGTGGCGCCATCTATAAGTATGAGAGACAATTAAGCAGGCAATCTCACAGCCGAGCTAGACTGCACCTGCGCGCGCTTGCTCTCGGCCACGGAGGAGTGGCAACCTATGTCTTCGAAATTTTGGTAACGCCCGTCGGGCCTCGCTAAGTCTACAGCATCTATTAATTGAGTATGGTTGTTGATAACGGTGCCGTTCGACACAAGTACATTGCTGTCAAAGTTTGACGTGAATGTGAAGAAAATAATAGTTTGGAGCTAACAAGATATAGTACTTACGTGAGCCACTTGATAGATTTGAGGTAAACGGAAAGCATTTTCTGCGGTGCGCCCATGTTTTGCGGATGCAAGCGTGCGCAGTTTGCTATCGTTACTCGAGTGCACACGTAAGCACAACGCATATTAGTACAGTGGGGTGTCGGATAGAATGAAAAACCCTTAATGCAACATCCTGCGAAACATTTCATCGCCACACAATTGCCATATATGGGGTAATAACGCAGAAGCGGGATTCTTCACAATATTTCATCTCTGAAGGATTTATGTCGATGAACGCATCAATGTCCAAGAACACGGTTGTCATGGCCGAGAACTGAACTCATTCGCTGGGGCTTAGCACGTCAGCAGCATAGCCTTGAAGCCGTCGACCCGATATGGCTGGCCTCGCAGCTCATCAGGCAAAAAAACTGCACTAGCCATTCTGCGACGTTCTAAGTATGGTTGGTATAGCGACGTTGTATTTTACAGTTCTTGCGCAATGAGACAGGGCAATTTAGGGCTAAGGGACATACATACTTTCGTCTTCAACCTGTTCAGTGTAGGTTATCTTATTGGTGCAATTACGATTTCAACGCGTAGATCAGACCAACCATTATCTTTGGGGACGAGATTTGTCGCGATATGACGTGGTTATATCGAGAAACGGCGCGCACCTGTCGTGATGCTAAAAAAATTGATGTTGCGTTTGAATCCATGAGCACTCTACATGGAGTAAATAGGTCGACAATCTCACTCATGAATCGATTCACTCAGAATCAGATTGAGCCGGTAGTCTTAGTCTAAGCGAGCCAGGGTGAGTAATATTTTTGTGTGTCTGAGCTAGTGAGTGTGGTTGTCAAAATCTATTGTGTGAGTAGGTGTGACTCCGGTTGAGGAAAATTATGGGGAACCAGAGTCCGAGGGAGTCCTTTGGTCGAAATATTTGTTACCACGAGCTTGATTTTTTTGTATTTTTTAGCTGACCTGCTCTCTTATGTATTGTATTTCAGTATATTAACAGTCTTATGTCAGCTCACAGATATATTCGCGACTTCTCGCACGTACTACCAGAGAGAAAAGCAGTTTCTTACATTGCGCAGGGGTGTAAAAATAATGGTCCAAGAAAGCATATATCAAAGGAAGAAAAGAGTATACATGCATACACGCAGGGCGTTAAGATCAAAGCCGTTTGGAGAGGCCGTTTGATCGCAGAAAACGCTGGAGCGCCTTGACAGCTTTCTTCTCCGACGTTAAGTCATGTTGGTGGCGCAGGATTATTTCTTCCGAACGCGTCTCTTCGTCCAGTCGATCGAGTGCATTGCGTAGCGACTCTCTCTGCGAGCAGTACTGCGGGCATTCGTATATGCCCAGTTGTTTTGTCACTGCCGCAAACACCACAGGCTGCAGTGTCGGCCATTCTATACGCGGAATGCGTGCGCATTGGTAAATGCGACACCCAGCCACAAGCTGCACACCAGGGTAGCATTACGTGGCCAAAGTCCTGGAAGAATTGAAGACTGAGGGTCGGGTCTAGGCTGCATAATCGTGCGTGCTTGAAACGTGGTTCGTTTCATTGCGACAGGGAGCGTTCGTGAGCAAGCATGTGGAGTTTCCGTGCAGCATCAGTTCTGGAGAGTGGAATTGACCTTTGATTGTTTTCAGTATGGGCAGACCGGGCAGCTGGATCAGCCCTCTCATTGCCAATAATCCCACAATGAGTTGGAAGCCATTGAAAGTCCACGTACTACAACGTGCTACTGTTGATACATAAGGTAAACAGTTATATTTTAGAGGCGTGAGTGGCCGAGGTAGACGAAGAGGGAGGCCCTTTGAGCTACCCCTGTGCACTCTGTCATGGAATATTATTGATAATGATATTCTACTTGAGTCATAATGACTTTCTGTTCCCCGCCCCCCTCCTCCTGGATAAGAAGCTCGAGCTGCTGGGTGAGTAGGTAACTCATCTTAACGGTGGTGAGCGAAAACAATTGAAGCACAAAAGGAATAAAAATTTATAGAGAGCACCATCATGCACCCCCCCCCCCCCCCAGAGCATACGCATATGGCAGCAGGCGCCGTGTCTTTGGCGTTCTCTTCCAGTGGCAGTCTCAGGTTGGCTTCTGCCCCGAGGAAGACTCCCTCCTGGACGCCCTGAGTGGCGCCGAGACGCTCGAGCTGTTCGCCCGGCTACGCGGCGTACGGAGCGACAAGATCGAGAGGCTCGTGGAATGCGTCGTCGGCGTCGTCGACCTGAACGAGTCCGCCAGACAAGCGTGCGGCACTTACAGGTGCGCCGCTCGGTGTATAACCCTGCTGTGGCACTCGCAGTACTTCATATTTTTTGTTAGTTTGCTTTGCTCTCTAACCCGCGTTTGGAGTGAGCCACTACAGCGTAAGACTTAAAAAGTTATTATTATTATTATTATTATTAATATTATTATTATTATTATTATTATTATTATTATTATTATTATTATTATTATTATTATTATTATTATTATTATTATTATTATTATTATTATTATTATTATTATTATTATTATTATTATTATTATTATTATTATTATTATTGGCCCCAGTTACATGTTGGCATGGCCACCACAGGGGTAGGCAGAGGTGTCATATGTGAAAACTGACAGGGGCAGGTTATCTATCTATCTATCTATCTATCTATCTATTTATTTATTTATTTATTTATTAGAATACCCTCAGGGCCCGTAGGGCATTACAGAGGGGGTGGGTACAACATTTATAACACACAAGAAAAAAAAGACAAAATAAAGAAACAAGTGTCAGATGCGCAAATCAGGAAGGCAACATAAGTCAACTAAAAATGTATAAGTAAGAATTCAAGCACATACAAGACAAAGATAGATAATGGAAACTGCGTATAGTTACAAGCATTGCTGAGAAATTGCAGTCTTGAATAACAATATCTATCTATCTATCTATCTATCTATCTGTATATCTATCTATCTATCTATCTATTTATCTATATATCTATCTATCTATCTATCTATCTATCTATCTATCTAATGACTTTTTATGTGTTTGTTCAATATCGTCAGAATCTCTGAAACAAGCGAAGAAATATAGAGTGAAGTGGACTGCAAGCATTTTAGGCAGTATGAAGCAGCAGGGGTCCCCTAATATACAAATCGGAATAAATGTTAAACAATATTTATCGGAACAAATCTTATGCAGTTGAATCTCATTGCAGTTGAATCTCACATTCTCCATCATATTTTTTTTTTGCATGGCCGGCCAACGTTCCTTGGAAGTAATGCATAATCATGCGTCTATTACGATCATAAGTTTGCCCAAAGTTGGGCAATGCGACTTGGATCTTGACCAATATCTCTATGAATCCTACGCTTAATTTTTTTTTCGGTACACTCTCTCATGTAGCGCCCCAAAGACTCACGTTACGTGTGCACGTCGCAGAGCCGCTGAGGCCGCAGCAGCGTCGGCTTTGGTGCGGAAAATACCACTGCCAACTGCAATCTACGGACTCGAACACTTCGACGCATGTCGTAGCTTCGCCGCTAATATCTGAATGAGTGATCTGAGGCTTCTTTTTTTTTTCTCAATATATAATTTGTGAGATCTTATCACCCATAACTATGAAATCTTCATGAGAGTGCTATTGTGTAGGGTTCCAGCAATTCCGTCTGCGAGGTGCTTTTAGAGGCGAAGCTTCTTATAGCGGCACCCGTTCGTGCCTTGTAGTATGAAAGAAGTATAACATTTTGACCTCCAAGGTGGTGCCGGTGAGAGACTTCTTCTGTGCGTTGTTGAACAATAAAAAATAGTGCTAAATGTACATGTCAATGGCTGCTAATGGGGAATGAGAGACAGGAGCATTCGGCTTTTAGTTAATACGCAGGCTGCGATCACCATTAGCAGCCATTGGCATGTACAATGAGCACTATCTGACAAGAAAGGGTTGCTACGTTATACTCGCTGGGTGTAACCTCCTTAGCTTTAGAAAGGTTTAGCGAGCGTTGAGCCGCAGTGCCATGAATACAATGCACTTGTATATACCATGAATGAACTCGAGGTGGTTAAAAATGGGAATTAGATATGAAGCGCAAGCCGTAAGAAAGTAAAAGCCGAATTCTCTGCCATTGACATGTACACTGAGCACTATCTGACTGAAAAAGTTTGCTACGCCATACTCGCTGGGCGTAACCTCCTTGGTTTTCGAAAGGTTTAGCGAGCGTTCGGCCGCAGTGCCATGATTACAGTGAACTAGTATATACCATGAACTCGAGGTGGTTAAAGGTGGGAAGTGAACCCGAAGCGCAAGCCGTAAGAAAGTGTGCGTGTGCCACCTCTCGTTTAGTCCTTGGAATGTCCGCTGGATGGCGGTGCTTCTATATGGGGAATGACATGTGGAGAATGGGCATGATTAAGAAGTCCGCACTAGAGATCTATCGAATTTTTAAGCAGGAAATTGCCAAGGAAAGGATCTATGATAATACTCGGGGTACTTCTCTACTGTTTGAGGCCAGGACGGGAGTACTGCGAACCAAGACATATCGGGCCAAATACGAAGGGGTCGACACAGTATGCAGTGCGTGTGGAGAGGAAGAAGAAACTGCCGAACACTTGATAATGTTCTGTAAAGGGCTTCACCCTATAGTTCAGGATGATGGCGCAGAGTTTTTCAAAGCACTGGGATTTAGGGACAGCGAGGGCAAAATAGACTTTAAGCGGGTAGACTTAACTAGAAGGAGGTTATCTGATGGGTGGCTAAAGTCAAGGCACGAGTGAAAATTAAAGCCTTCACTGCGAAGTACGAATCCTCAACTTCATTATTTAAATGAAAAAAAAAAGATAAATGTAATGGTTAGTTCGCTAAGTATTACGGCTAGGTGGCGTTAGCCGCCGCCCGATCTAAAGGGTACAGCCACATCCATCCATCCATCCATCCGAATATATGATGAAAAGATGCGAGATGGTGGTACTTGGAGTGTCGAATAGATGGACGAACGGACACATAGACAGATGCATGGATGGACGCATGAACGGACGCAGGGGCGGCTGCATGGACGAACGCAGGGATGGACGCATGAACGGACGCACGCACGGACGGGCTGATGGACGCATAGACGGTCACACTGATGGACGCATGGACGGACGGAAGCAAGAACGAATGGACGGACGAATTCTTCGCCCCACTCTTCATCATTCACTCCGTGGATATGCTGCCATTTTTTTCAACGTGCGTCTAAATTTAAGCACACAGGTTGCTAGAGTTTTACTTTCCCGAAAATGTGGCTGCCGAAGCGTGCACCATTCCATCAAGAGACCTTCGAGTCAGCAGTTTACCACCTCATAACCATGAAGGGTTTCAAAAAATTTAGTCTTAGACGTCGCAAAGAAGAATGTGCAGCGCAAATTTACTGCTGATTTTGCTCGATAAAAGTGAGTTCATGACGAGGTATGGATGTTTTCCTTTTTTTCAACCTATTTGTTTAATAAAATTTCTGCATAAAACGTTTTATTTTCCGGCTCCAGTGAAAGGCGTATTAACGTGATTCAACAGTATATCGTTTAATAATGCATGCTGGAAGCTACAGAAAAACATTGTACATACACACATGCCGCTCTTTCAATTCAAAACGCGTAAACGCAGCAAACTCACATCATCATTTCAAAACAGATAAGCTCTTGTGAGCTGGACAACCATTGTTGTTGTTAGAGTTTAACGTCCCAAAACCACCACTTCATTCATCATGAGAGACAATGTAGTGGAGAGCTCCGAAAATTTCAACCACCTGAGGTTCTTTGATGGGCACCTAAATCTAAGCACATGGGCCTCAAACATTCTCGCCTCCATCGGACATGTGGGTGCCGCAGAATTTCGATCCCATGACCTGAGGGTAAGCAACCGAGTGCCTTAGCCTCTAGACCACCGTGGTGTGTTAGCTGGATTACCATATTTCTGAAATAAAACTTCAAATATTGCGCTAAATCTAACACTTCCTATTAACTTGCTGTTATTATAGCCCTTGTGTAGCTCTTGGAGCCCTTGAGGATCCCGTGCTAAATCCTAAAATAATGTATTTGCTCTCAAGTTGTCGGTTTTACATTTTGTTTCTAACGCAACTACATTGCCGTGAAACCAGAAGAAGTGCGTAGCGGGAAACCCAGTTATGGACTTGGCAATCACGCGTTTGCTGCACTTGCCAACGCTATGAAGAGGGCGCCACCGCCTCGACAAGCGCCCGATTGTCAGGACGGTGGCACACCTCACCAGCGGCGCGTGTGTAAGCCGCATGTTTCAGAAGCGTTCTTCGCGGCTGCAGGTGTATTATTTCAGTTAATTCTCAGTAATTGCTGCAGCTAATATTATTTCAGACCTTGACCGTTTATTTTATACTGGTTTTGAGCATTGTTAGCCTCAATTTAGGCCTGCATTGACCACAGCGGTCCTATGCGACATCAAACAGTGTACACATGCCAGCCCCCTAAAGTGCTACGCACTCAATAGCAATACTTCGTAAGAATCTCAACGAGTCTCCCATCGCTCGCTTGCCTGTTTTCAGTGCGGACGCCAGACGGAAACTCTCCATCGGGTTAGCCATCATCGGAGCTCCTCGGGTGGTGATTCTCGATGACGCCACCAGGGGTATTGACACCACCGGGCGCCAGATGATTTACGAGGCGCTGCGAGATCTGGCCCGCGTTTCTGCGTCAGCGATTATCCTCACCTCACGCAGGTGTGGAAACACTGCAGTGTGTTTTAATCTTGCCGAAGGAACAGCAACCGTGGGCAATGTTGAGCAAAAGGGCGTCATCGCGCCCACTATCTCACGTGAGATTGGTCAACAGCTTATACCATTCTACCAGTAGGACGCTCATAGATTGATTGATATTCGGGGTTTAACGTCCCCAAACCGCCATGTGATTATGGAAGACGCCGTTGTAGAGGGCTTCGGAAACTTCGACCACGTGGGGTTCGTTAACGTGCACCCAAATCTTAGCACACGGGCCTACAGTATTTTCGCCTCAATCGAAAATGCAGCCGCCACAGCCGGGATTTGATGCCGCAACCTGCGGGTCGGCAGCCGAGTAGCTTAGCCACTACAGACCACCCCGGCGGGTACGAGCTGTTCTCTCACCGATTACTTTGTGTGGGGTCGACAGACCGCATGAAATTCACTTCGCTTCGCTAGAGCTACTGTATTCATTTATGCTATAGCATTTGTAGCGTAACGTCAGGTGAGATTCCTTGAGTTATTATTTGATAGTTTTATTTCGAATAGTATTCTAATTTGTTGAATCGCATGTATTGCATCACTCTAGCGCTAGAAGTATGATATCTGTTGATAATGTTCTCTCGTATTTACTCACAAGACACTGTCGTTTCTTGGTGGGAACGAATATGGAAGGCGTACTTGACAATTGCCCGCTTGTAGCACGAAACCTCAAGAAAATACAGATCTCTCGGAAAGGAAAAGCCTGTTAGTTGAAGAAATTTCGTCGTATAGTTCTGTTATCGAACCCAAGACCGAATTTTTTGTAGAGTGGTCGCTCTGCCAACTAAAGGCAATATCGCTCAGCGTAACTACATCACACTGTTCAGGGTCGCTGTTGCGTGGAATTGCAATGGCGTCAAAACTCTAGCCAGATATTGCCAAAGTAGCGATGTCATTTAATAGCGTCGCTAAATTTATAGACAAATAGAACATCAATGTTATTATAAACAGACTCTTTACTATGGGTGATTAAATGCAATCATTTTGAAAAAGTGAAACAGGAAATTTCAATGGAGCCAGTAAATATTCATGGTCCCAACTGGTAATTATTTTCCAAAAAAAAAAGGTCGAAAGTAGCCAACTTTGCACAAAGTAGACATTAACGGCCACCCTGGCACTGCCAACGAAGCTAACCAGTATGCTAGCAAGTGCCAGTGTGAGGGCGGATAAGGCAACAATTCGCCCTCGTATACTTAAAGTGAGGTCACATGGTACAAACATTCATTTTTATTATCCTTGCCATAACACATCGCTATCTGGTGGTATTTTGTAGAAGTCATTTTCAATATAATGCAGCGAATACTTCGATCTTGTAGTAGCTTTCCCTAAAGCAGTGAATGTGGTTGTGACCACGGTGCAGCACGGAAGAGTGCGACATGGCCTGTACCCGTGTGGGCTTGATGGCCGGCGGTGAGATCAAGGCCCTGGGCAGCATGATGGCGCTCAGGGAGTCCTTCTCCACGGGTTTTGTGGTCACCTTCTCGCTCGCCGAGAGGTTCACTCCGTACATGATCGAGAAGTCGGACAAGGCGGTCTCTCGGCTCTTTCCCGGAGCAAGGCGAGTCGACTGCCGAGAGGTGAGAGAACGAAGTGATTGTTTCTGTTCACTCCGTTTCGTTAGGAGGGCGTCTAAGACTGCATTGTGATGTTTACTTCTTGATTCACCTATTTAATTCTTCCATATGCCTTGCAGGCACATCGAAGGGCATTGAGTAAGGGGTGGGGGTGACGTCAGTAAATACTGGACTAATATTCAGAGAAAAACAGAAGAAAAAAAGGAACCAATATGAACAACAGGGTGCAACGTTGTTACGTAACGCTAAAACTCAACAGAATTAAGTTATCCCGCAAAGGTTTCGATTAGACATAAATAAAATTTATGACTATAGCTGAATGATTAGTTTACTACGTTTGAAAAAAAAAAGAATTGCGCACGCGCAAGCGCTACGCTGCTGTACACTTCTGGTGAAGCTTGAAATGAAACGGAGACAAGAAATTATTGCAGTTTACTCCGTTTCATAAGGAGTAGTGCCGGAGCGTAAAGCATAAACGACGAGCTCTGTTTACTCCGTTAAAAAATGGCTCTGCTCAAGTTTTAGTGTAAACTATGTGTATTTAGCCCCGTTCATTCAACTGCAGAATGAGTGCTTTCACGTGGGAGGTTCATTCAGGCATGCAAGACTGAAGCTTGAGTTGAAAGGGAACGTGACTACACATGTTTACTCCGTTTTGCTAGCGGTGTAATGCTTGCGTGGGAGCGTAAAGCTTGCATTGCATGACTAGTTTAGCTCTTTTTACTCCGTTTTAAGAAGTGATGCTCAAATTGAAGAGTGAGCTATGAATATCAGTGTTTACACGATTACAAAAGAGTATTAATGTCGGAGCATCTGTTGGGTATGCTAGCACTTGAGGTGAGAGGGAGTGTAGTGATTACATATGTTTACTCTTTGTTTATTCGTAAGAAGCGCTGCTCACTTGTGTGCTTCAGGTATACATGATTGCACTAGCGCTCGTTCATGAAGTAGACTGTTTTATGTGGGGAGCGTCCCCAATGCTCGCACGTCCCTTGAAGCTTGAGATAAAAGAGAGTGGAGTGATTACCTGTGTTTACTCCGTTTCATCGGGAGTACTTCAGATATTCAAACATAAAACATACATGACCCCTACAAGCTTATCCACCGGTTTATTACACTTAGGCTAGCATCGCAGCAATATTTCATTGCGTTGTTCAGTGTAACGCCATAATCTGCAAGCATTATATGTATGTTGTATTTAAAAAACACATAAGAAGATGAAGCCGCATTGTCTTCCCACAATTCGACGATGGTGATTTTGCGGCTAAAGATGGACCTAATTAGCAACCCCTTCGAAACATAGATACCATCAGTAGTCAGTCACCCAGCATGTCCATTACGTATGATCATGTCGGAGCAGTGAATACCTTGACTATCTCTCGTTATTATTCTTTAATAATTTTTTTTTGTTTTTACATTGAGCTGACGCCTGTACGCCTCTAGTGCCTCCTGAAACTAAAGTTACTGGAAAAGGTAAAATATGCGGTAGCTCTGCTTCGAAAGGAATGGCACTGCCATCTATGGCCGCTGACACAAAACGCACGTTGTTCATTTCATATATGCAGAATTTTGTCGATGCGCGCGTCCTGAAATACATTCGGAATTCTCTTAATAATTGGCGAAAGGGAATGCGTTTCGCAACGCCCTCTTCACCTTAGTCGTACACGAGAAGGGTCAAGTTCAGTCCGTAGCACGGTGTAAGATAGAAAAAAAAGTGTTGGTATCTTACACCGTGACCCAGACAATGATGTAAGAGTGTATCTTACACCGTGGTCCGTATAGTCATCCACTACTCCGAGCCTCACAGTGTCATCCTGTCCTCGGCACGTAAGCTTCTGTGAATTACATTACACGTTAAGGGGCCTGCGGGATTCCACAGGGCACCTTCGTCTACCACGTGGCCAACAGTCTTCCCTGGAGCGAGGTGTTCTCTCGGCTCAGCGCGGTGAGCCAGTGCATCTCGTTCGAGTCCGTGCTGGTGGCCCAGAGCTCGCTGGACGAGGTTCTGCTCGGCATGGGGCGCGCCGAGATGGCCGAGGACGCGACGGTGGGCCGGCGCGCCGTCTACGAGGCGTTCAGCCCTCACTACGAGGGCGATCCCTGGGGACGAGAGCGCCAACTGAAGCACGAGCGCCGACAGAAAGTGCGGGAACGCCGCAAAAAGGACGCCGACGAAAACAGCACTGAGAAAGCAGCGCCGTAGACTGTCGCGCTTTATCTTCCCTGTGCGTCGCGTTTCTTTTTTGTTTTTGTTTGGTATTATATGTACCTAAATATCTTTAAATATCAATTTTTTCTAATGTGAGAGAGTGTTGAATTTGTTTAGTAGATAGGTAAATAAGCTCAACCACACATCAAAGAATCATGTGAGGGGATATGTGGGCGGAAAAGTCGAAGCAGTATGACGATGACCTCCCGAGCCGCTGTAGATGACCGGACACTTCTCTGCTTCAACGTCGGCCCCTTACCTATACTCCCAAACAATAAACATACCACTGCTATAATTAAGTTAATGATCACAAAGCAGCATGATGTATATATGTAACGCTCGCACGTTTCTACCTGCGTCATGGGTGATGCCAGGATTCCTCTAATGATAGGAGGAAGAGTTAGCCATCACGAGTGTGTTTCTTCAGGTGGTCGGGATACTGGGAACATATGGTCTGTGTTTTGCTTACATTACCTTTCGGTGGGGGCTATAGGGAAGGTGGACGGCAGCGTCTCTAGGCTGGGGTACCTGCCCCTCCCCTCTTTCCGCATGCCACGGTTGATCCGACCCTGACTTCTAGAAGGTTATAACCTAACAATAAATACAAGCTCCTCTCACGGGCATCACTGTACCGTCAAGAAACACTTTACGTAAATGGTCTTATCAAACGACATCTGCTCATGTCGAGACATCAAGCATTTTCGGCCTGATTCAAATTGTTGATGACCCCATAGGGATGTTTCTTAAACTTAAACAATACCTCGAAAGTCCTAATGAAGCTGTTCTCAACTAATGCAGGTCTTTGAGGATGTGTTAAGTGTGTGTTTAGAATAAATTTTGAATGATTTAGAGCACTATAAGCACACTGCGATAGGAGAGTCATAACCTGTCCCGATACGATATTTACTCAACACTGTACATGGCCATTGAAAAAACCACTCGGCGCCTTAAAGAGGTTCCTCTTTTCACGACGTCATTATTTCACATGTTTTTTCTAGCTGGTTGCGTTCACTGAAGTCTTAAGAGATAAGGGCGGCAAGAACAGCAGTGATAGGGGCCCTCAGTGCAGAGTTATTCAGTGTAGAGATATAAAATTACAACGAAATAGATGCTTACTCTCAACTCAATTTTAGCGGGCTCTTCTGACCGCGTTCCCCGCGTGTTGCTATGCCCGCGCGCCTTCACATGGCGTGGTCAAAGTGCGTATATAGATGCCCTCTGGCGGGATCGCTCACTGGCGTGCGCGCTTATCTCAGGATTCGGGCAGTTCGCACCCTTGTGCTTCCACAGCATGTTTGCTTCAAAGATAGAGCGGTTAAAAAAAGCGCGAAGGTTGCTCTGCTCACTGCCGCTTCCGCGTTTACGAAAGGAGAACGCTGCTCATACACAAAGAAGTTCGAACTGTGACAGTTGTTCGCGCCGGTCTTGTGTTGTGTGTTCGTTTCGTGCGTCTCTCCTTCTGTTTGAGCAGCGTGCTTTACAGGTCGAACTGTGAAAGTTGGTTGTCCGCGCACGTCCAGTGTATGCTCATTTCGTGTGTTGAGCGAGCGCACGCGCGTCGCATACGCTCCGCCGAACGTGTGCTCTCGTTGACCGGATTACTCCGATATCGTCGCCGGCACTGTGTCGGGTCATCAAGTTTTAACAGTCCTAGGAACCGCACACCATTCCCGAGGCTGTAGAGCATCTCCATTTTTCTCTATCACCTTCAGAAGAACCCATGTGAGCGCTGGGACGCTGGGCCTAAGCGTCGACCCAGCTCGCCTGTGCGAGTACGGGTGACTAGGCCTAACGGCGGGACCCCTTCCACAACAATATGGACGCTAGCACTACGCCAACTGCTGACGTGACAACTACCGGATGCGTTCAACCTGCATTCAGCCCCAACGACACCCATGTTAACACGGAATCTCTCGACCTCGACGAGCTCACTCGGCAAGCGAAGATGAAGTTGCCGTCCACCATCCTACATCGTCTGCATCGCTGGGACCGGCGAGCGACACCGACGCCAACTGGAAACTGGCGATTTCCCGTCGCCAGCGCCAACGCCAGAAAAAAATTCGACAAAGCTCGAGCGGAATTGATGCAGCCGGCCGGTCCTGCAAGCACTCCGCCCAGCCACGTCAACGCCGGGGCAGCTGCGGCTGCGAGCGCTCCTGCTGCGCAGGCAGACGCGGCCGGCGTCGCACCGGCGCGAACACCACCACCCGTAACGAAGCCGCGCCAGCTACGACGGAAGCTGCCGCCGCTTCCACGCACGGACATAAAGATCATCATGCGCCCGAAAAAGGGCCTGGCCATTCGGAACTTCACTACGCATCAAATCTCCCGAGCCGTAGCACTGGCGGGCAATTTGCGACAACATTGTACTGGTGATCATTTCATTATACGTACTCGCCCCGGGTCGAACATCATCATTGCCAGCACGCCACATGTTGAGACGGCTGAAATTCTTCGTCGGATAACCACCCTCACGCTTGAGAGGAAGACCTACGAATTCAATACCTATGTGGCGGCCCCTGAATGCAACTTGCGGGGAGTTATTCATGGGATATACCCTGGCACAACTCCGGAAGAACTCACCGCCAACCTCCGCGTGCGCACGCAGGGAGTGACAGTACACAGTGCACGAATGCTTGGTGCTACCAAATCTCCCGTGATCACTTTTGAAGGCCCCTTGTGCCCCGATATGTACTGTATTACGGTGGGGAGGTGGCCTGCCATCCGTACAAGCCGACGCGACAAGCCTGCCAAGTCTGCTTACAACCGGGGCACCGCTCAGACGTATGCCTCACGCCAAACACTCCCGTGTGTCGGCACTGTGGTATCCTCAACCTCGTTGACGGTCACCCCTGTGCTCCCAAACGTCACTTGTGTGGAGATGCCCACTTAACGGGCGCCAAAGAGTGCTCTCGGAGACTGAAGGCCCCCGCCCACGGCCACCTCCTCAACCAGCAGCACCAGCCAGGGGCCGCAACCCCCATCGTAACCCACCCACTCCCAAACGCAGGTGGTTCAGCGAGGAAAACGAGACCTCATGCAGCCACTCCCGCTCACGCTCGAGGTCACAGTCCTTCCCGCCCCTCCCTTCTGTGGAACCTGGCCAACAGCAGCAGCCAAAGCAGCGACGGCATCCGAAGAACCAGATGACCAAGGGGCAGCAGCAGCAACCCACCTGTCAACAGCCCCAGCACGCCTCCAGCAAACATAATGAGAAGCCCAATTCCACTCCATCAGCCGGTGCCGACATTAAGGTGAGCTGGTCAGCAAATGTAGATCCTCCCATCGCTCCACTCAATACCCTGTCCACCGCATACGAACACCTTCTCGCAGAAAACATAAAACTCAAACAGGAGCTGGCAGCCGTCAGGGCACGTCAAGCAAAGGACAGTTTTCAACTTCATGCCCTAATGACGCGTCTTGGATCGCCGCCCGACTCCCCCGAAAAAAAACCCCAACCTCCCCCAAGAAACAGAAGACCCCTAAAACGGCGCTATCAATTCCTGCTGCGTCGGGCACCACAGTCACACGCGAAGAGTTACGCGAAATGTTCTCAATGCTCGCGCAGCAGCTATCGCAACAATTCAGTGCCGTATTCACGCAGTTCCGAGAACGCCTCGACTCTCTCGAGACACGCTTCGAGGCGCGAATTGCTGAAACAGGCGAAAACATACGCAAGAAGAGGGCCACTCGTAGCTCGCACGCCACGACAGATCAAGGTTACCATAGACTAGGATTGGCATTCGAAATCCTCGCTACCCCCGCATTGACACCCAGCGCCCTCACCCTCACTCCTACATCGGCGTCGCAAGCCGAGATTCCGATACCCACGCCTCACTCCTACATCGGCGTCGCAAGCCGATATTCCGATACCCACGCCTTTCCACTCAACGAATTAACCATGGGCAGCACAGCCCCACTCATTGGCGAACATTTAGAAGTCTGGCAATGGAACTGCCGCGGCTTCCGCAGATAGCGGAGCCTCCTCCAACAGTACATTAACACACACCTTGCTCGGCCAGATGTCATAGCGCTTCAGGAGCCCGAAACGCCACCCATATTTTCAGGTTATAAGTCCTATAATAGTCAAACAAAGGGCAAAGCGGCCATCCTGATTGACAAAGCGCTAACCGCAGTTGGCTTAGACAATATCCCAGACACCAACATAGAACATGTGATTGTGGAGCTAGTTCTCAGGTAAAAAAAAAGAAAGAGGAGAAAAGCGAAGTATCATCATTGTCAACGTATATAGCGCCCCAAAGCAAAAAACCACTGATTTCCATGCCCTCGTTCAAGGTGCCTGCCGATTGGCCCAGGGAAAAGAACTCTTACTGCTCGGCGACTTCAATGCTCTCGACGAACGCTGGGGTTACAACCGTTCGGATGTCAAAGGCAAACAGCTTGCGGCTGCCACTGAAAAATTTCAGCTTGAACTGCTTACGGATCCCGCGTTCCCTACCCGGATCGCCAACAGTGTGTGCAGGGACACTTGCCCAGATCTCACCTTCGCCCGTGGCCGTGCAAACTATAACTGGGACTACTTGCAGGAATCCTTGGGCAGCGACCACTTCATTCTCCGCACAAAAGTTACAGAGAGCGCAGCGCGTCGGTCTATTGGAGAAGCACGCATCACAAACTGGGACGCCTTTCGTCGTGAGAGCGAATATTCACTCGACAGCCTCACAAGCCTCACCGACTGGTGCACCCAACTTAAAAAAATTCGAGAGCGTTGGACCACCACCATTAACAGAACACCTCACTGCCGGAAGTGGACGGCCATCTGCTACATCTGGGGGAAGCCCGAAGGAGCATCATCCGCAGATGGAGCACGCAAAAACATAACCGACGCCTCAAGCTAAGGATCGCCACACTCACCACTCAGGCAGAGCAGTACGCTACAGAACTGGCGCGACTCATTTGGGCCCAGTTTAGCGACTCTCTTCGAGGCTCATTGGGCACGGCCCGCACGTGGCACATTTTGCGCGCTTTGATGG